CGCCCCCTTCCATGCCCAACCAGGTCTCAGTAATACCTGCCAGGTCCGCACCCCCCTCCTGAATAAGATCTTGAATGAGGGGGGCCTTATTTACCACGGACCTGGCATTACACAGCATCAGTCGGTGATCCCGGGGCCGGGGATCTAAGATCCCTGGGGGTCGAGTTGAGTCCTGAGGACCGGAGCACCCACAAGCTTGGGATTCTGAAGCTATTTTCATTTGGGTACCATGATTTGTCCAAGCAACGAATGCTTCGTAGGATCCAAGGACCAAAACATGAATGCTAAACCAGCCATAATGGCAACTGCTGCAACTTTGTGAAATAGAAGCTGGCTGATGATGGCCTTTTTCCATGCTCAGCTTATACATCTGCCCCTAAATCCTTCTTTTTCTCCCATGTTCACTCATGTAATATAATATCATTCTTGTACTGTGAGAATGAGAGAACATGGAAAGCAGCTATTGCGAAAAGACAGAAATCTAGTTCAGATGTCAACTAATTGCTGAGTCTGGATCACCAAAGGAAGAAATAGCACAAACCGAAATAAAAATGTTCTTCTCGGCTCACAATGAAAACAGCTGCATGAATATAAATAATGTCCTTATGTGTAACTTCTTCAGCTTTGCTACTAATCATATGAAACCATTCACTTCTGAAGCAAACTCTCAAGATGATGGAGTTGCTCAAAAGAGCTTCTACCCACTCAAAGTAATGCTGCTAAAATAAAGAATGAATTCGCTGGGGCAGCAAAACACTTTGATCCAAATGTAACATAAATGGGACCTTTTCTTTTTATGGGATCAAAACCACATTCTATTCTCCCCAAACTTGTCATTTTACAATGACCACAGCCACTTGTCTCATTAAAGGAAGTTTCAATGAGGACAGTAATAAATAATTTGTTTGCACAGGAGCTTTAGTTTTTTGGCAACACTCTGTGGATATTTAATAAATCAGTTTATCAGCAGTGACTTTAATTTTCCTCATTACACTGAGCATCGGACTCAAATGATTTTTTTTCCTTCCAGATTCTCACTAGAAAAAAAATTCTGCCTTATGAAAATAGGCCCTTCCTCCTAAAAGCAAGGTACAGCATTACTTACCCTGTAGTAATCTGTGCTATATACATCTCTTGACATCCCAAAATCTCCAATCTTCACCAGCAGGTTTTCCCCAACCAGGCAGTTCCGAGTAGCAAGGTCACGATGCACAAAGTGCTGTGATGCTAAGTAAACCATACCAGCTGCAATCTGCTGGGCAATGTGCAGCATCTGGGATTGGGTTAGTTCAGCTAAAAGATTCCCTTCAGCCATCAGAACTGCATCAGGTCCATGCGCCCTGCGTGGAACACAAAAGAAATGTAGGAGATCTAATGACACTCAGGCGAAAACTAGGTGGTGCTTCTCAGAGGTAATTTCAGGAATAGACGCTTCATCTCTCTCGTTTCCCGAATGGTGCATATGGGAAAGGGGGCAAGGCCACCAAGTATTGCTGGGGTTGTGGCTCTGGAACTTTTTCCTGTCTAGCTATACAGAGCGCAACTAATGATGAATGGGAAAGCTCTTAAAGGGTTCTGTTCTGAGAACCGATTGTTAAATTATTTGAATCCCACCATTGTCTCAGGGTATGTCAGCAAACTTGGGTTTTTGCATCCTCTGCTCGTATAAGTATCATTACTATGAAATGCTTGAAGCAGAGCTCTAAGCAGAGGCTGCCTCCCTGGTAATAAACAGCAAACAACATTCAAAAGCAAAGAAGTGCATCTTAAATGAGCTGCAATTGGTAAATAATGGTTTTTCCTGAAAACCGGCACTAACCTGATTTTTTGGCAGCACCATACCATAGTGAGCAATGGGTTTGCACTTAGAACCGCAGTGTTCCATTAACCATCATGGCATTTACACTTACAACCACTGATTTCTCTTAACGAGTGCAACAAAAAGCATCGTAAAATTGGCTTAGTTTTTTGACAACGGTTAGGACTTGTGACTGTGATAAACAGGTTCCATAATGGTCATAACTCAAAGACTATCTGTATCCTCTTTATTTACAGGACGAGGGGTGACATGATAGCAGTGTTCCAATATCTCAGGGGCTGCCACAAAGAAAAGGGAGTCAAGCTATTTTCCAAAGCACCTGAAGGCAGGACAAGAAGCAACGGATGGAAACTAATCAAGGACAGAAGCAACCTAGAACTAAGGAGAAACTTCCTGACAGAACAATTAACCAGTGGAACAACCTGCCTCCAGAAGCGATGAGTGCTCCAACACTGGAAGTTTTTAAGAAGAGACTAGACAGCCATTTGTCTGAAATGGTATAGGGTTTCCTGCCTGAGCAGGGGGTTGGACGATGACTTCCAAGGTCCCTTCCAACTTTATTATTATTATTATTATTATTATTATTATTATTATTATTATTATTATTATTATTATGGTTGTTGTTGTTGTTGTTGTATTGAAAATGAATTAACTTGATTTCTCAGTGAAGCACAAACAATTTTCCTTTTCCAGCTATTAAATCATCCACCCTACTCTGTTCAGAACATATTTTGTTATTTTTTTTAATAAGTCAACATACCTTACTGCTATTTCCACTTAATGTCGATCAAAAACATCTATAATATACTTCCCCAATCAAATATCTTTCTTTCCCTGCTTATGCAAGAATCACTCAACCCTGCATTTTATTTTTGTGCTACTTTTCAGGAACTTGTTCTGTTCCTTCTTCCTCAATATAATGTGAGACTTCAAAATGTGCCATATCATTACTGGATGATGCACTTGCTATTTCTGTTTCTTAGCTGTAGAGCTGCGAATCAACTCTTTTCAGATAGTAGAAGCACAGATCAAGGTTGCTGAAATTAAAGGCCATGAAGTACATGCACTTCAGAACCACTCCATTCTTTGAAGCTCAAAGAACACTGCGCTGAAAATCACATACAGTCATATTCTTGCCTGTGACCAAATATTTGGAGTGTAAAAGACTTCTGAGGGGCTAAAATACTACCAGCTTTTAACAGGGTTCTGTGACCTAGTCACGTTGTCCTTCTGCCCCATTCTTATCCCTCCCCCCAAAAGTCAATTCAATATAATTTTCTACAGTCATAAATCAAGACTATCTAAGGTAATACAAGAATGAGAACCCACTCCTATATCCTCTGGCTGCCATGACAAACTCAGTCAATTTAGAATAACCCCAAAAGATACAAACTCTGATTGTGCTGCTTCTAGAGTTTCTGTAGACAATTATGCATAGCCTGGAGTTGGGGGGGGGGGTTGTGTGTGTGTTTTTTAGTTGCATTCTCTAATCACTGCTTCAACTCCTCTTGAAGTGGATTTACTTTTGTCAGCCTTTGCTCCTGAAACATTTCAAGTATTGCACTGCCTAAATTTCACATTCAGGAATCCTTTTTGATCTTCAGATCGTAGCCTGAATTGTCTGTCTGTCTGTCTGTCTCTGATTGAGTTGTGTGTATGTGTGTGTCTGCCTACAAATTGTGAGATCATTTTTTTCTCTCGATGGCCTTGGGGGGCGCTGCAGGGTAAGAAATAAATGTGCTTCCAAAGCATGATTACATGCAGATTTTCTCTCCTATCATAATTAGTGTCAAATGAGAGAAGAATGCTAAATTTCAATTTCACTTAAGAGAGTCTCTTTTTCACTGAACCATTCTGGATGTTACAGAATAAAAAAACTTTTTAAAAGGAAGATATATTACCGTCAGATTGCTTCAACTCAAAATGCAACAGTTAGAAGGGAAGCCACTACCATAATATATAAGTGAATGGGTGCTTTAAATTAAAGCAATGCAATCATAACTAATGTTTAATGCATGCATTCTGTTGTGGGAGGCTGTCTCTTTCCACTAATTTCCAAGATATGCAATAGAAGTAAATCTCTATCAATAGATTTTCCGAACCTTCTAAGGCTAATGAGTATCTTTATAAGCAGGCAAATAACAGATATATGTATATCCCAGAGCTTGCCATTCAGGGAGCTTGCTTACTTACTTACTTACTTACTTACTTACTTACTTACTTACTTACTTACTTACTTACTTATTTATTTATTTATTTATTTATTTATTTATTTATTTATTATAATAATAAAGCAAAAAGGCTCTGCTTGCTTGTGGTTAGTGGTATTTCTCATTAAGAGTTTTCTTAGGCAAAACAGTTTGTGGTGTGATGTAATGCCATTCTTCACTTACCAGTTGCACCTATAACAGATAGATAAAAAGATGGAAAGAAAAGTACCAAGACAAAGCAATGTAATAACAAAGAAAATCAAGCTTACTGGCTTATTGGAGGGAGGGTGGTGGAAAGGAAAACAAATAGGAGGTGAGTGAAAAGTAACTTGGCCATGTTGCCACAATAGGATTGTCCTTATCTGCTTTCTCACGATTTCAGTCTAACCATCTGCAATACATGAAGCTTTTTTGTGTGTCTGCATTCTAACAGTCTAACAAAAATTGGGCAACTGTACACACTTTAGTGCAGGGGTGGGCAACTATGGAAACTTCAACTCCCAGAATTCCTGAGCCAGCCATGAGAGTGTAAGTCCAGTGATTGAAAAATTGCCATAGTTTCCCAAGAACGACAGAACGAAAGAACGAAAGAAAGAAAGAAAGGAAGGAAGGAAGGAAGGAAGGAAGGAAGGAAGGAAGAAAGAGAGAGAAAGAAAGAAAGAAAGAAAGAAAGAAAGAAAGAAAGAAAGAAAGAAAGAAAGAAAGAAAGAAAGAAAGAAATATTGCCATAGTTTCCCAACCCTGCTTTAGTGGAAACTAAATTTTTAAAAATCATAAAAATGGATAGAATAATTCAAATATCATTAGAAGCTCAGCAGGGAAGTTCCTGCTCTGTCACCATCTTAGTTACCTAGCCTATGGAAATTAAACTGATGAATACTGAAAAAAAACTCCTGAGTTAACGCCAAGTATCATAATTCTTGATTCAAGGCTTTATTCCAAGCATATTAATCTACAACATTTTATAGAAGACAATAAAGAAAATAAAGAAACATTTTAGGTGAAATAAGAGAATGAAATATACTGAATATACTGAAACAGACAGATGAGTCACTCCTTCAGCTAAGCTGGTGAATAACCCAGCTGAATTCACACAACACCTAAATCCTAAAATGTTGTAATGGGCTGTCTGGGGGTAAAACAAAGCAAGGCTATGGTGTACATTTGAAAAAAAACCAAGAAAGCTGTAATTGTGGAGCCTAACTGGCAAGAATAAAGAATGCTTATTCACAGAGAATATGCAGGTGTAAAACTTGTATCAACTCTGGGTGGTTAAAGGTCTGATAACAGTAACAAAAGTTAGACATCCTGCATACCACAGCTAGAAGTTAGGAATAGGGATAGCCTGGAACAAACAGAATGTGTATCAGGGGTCTTCAACCTGTGGGCTGTGGTCCACTACTGGGCTGTGGCCTGCTGGCCACTGGGGGTGGAACAGGCTGCTCAGTGTGTGCATGTGTGTGTGCGCACTCGCCCCCACTTGCACTAGCGCCACTGCGGTTACGCAAATGGGGCACCGCATGGCAAAAATGGGGCACTGCATAGCAAAATGGGTGAAAACGGGTCACCGCATAGCGCAAACAGGGCGGTGCTAGCCCCCGTGTGGCAAAAATGGAACACAGCGTGGTGAAAATGGGGTCGTGCTAGCAAGTGTCATGTGGGCACTAGCACCGCCCAGTTAGCATCACACATGCTCACGGCTCTGTTTGTGTGTGTGCGCAAGTGCGTAAAATGCTTCCCCCTCCCTTTTCCCTCTGGTCTGCCAACCAAGAAAGGTTGGAGACCTCTGTATTAGATAACTCCTAAAGCATTCATTAGCTAAGGCTTAGGAATATTGACAGCTAGAAACCAATAGAACAATTGTTAGATCTTCACTAAAATGTTTATTAGATGACATTCCTTATATATCTCGCCTTATCCCACCTTCTGCTTTAGTGAAATTGTATAAAGTTTTCTTAATTCTATTGTTCAGGGTTCCCTGGCATTTTGGCCAGGACCCCTTTTTTTCAAGAGCATCAATAAAAGGAAACAAAACCTGCACCTTGTGTCTGGTGTTCTTCATCGGCTTCGGCACCAGGCTCAGATCCGAATTGGGGACAACAATTGCTTGCAAATCACACTGTTTATAGAACATATTAGCCCAATACAAATAAATCATACTATGACTACTAATACAGCTATACCAATGCTCAGCAGCAATTCTTTGGGTTATTAAAACAAAACTGCTTCACCTAATTAGGAACACCTAGTCTTGAACATGGACTTTATATATACAATGATGATGATACATCTATCATTTCACTTTGCCGTT